GTTGAGAGGCTTTGTTTGTCTAATAAAATAATCTCACGCTCCACTGTGACTGCGCGAAGATCGAAATAAAGGCCTATTCACTACTTCTCTGGTTTCTTCTATCAATAGCACGAGGGTTACCTTAAGGCACGAAACATGCTCATGCAGAAATATATTGTAGTTATCTTTTTCTTCTTATTGTTTTTTAGTTGGAGATACATACATAGTCGTTTTGTCTTGTTCAGTGTTCATAATCATGCGTAATAAACTAATTACTTATCTAATGTTCCCTTAGTTTCTACTCCCTTGTTTTCTCCATTCCCTTCTTTGAAGTTAACCTGATATTCTTTCCAATTAAACAAAACCGTTTTTTCAAATGATGCAAATATTATGCTAGCTTTATTGAAACTAGTGTGTTATTGCATTTTTCAAGAAATATGCATCTCTTACGACTACTAGCCTGCTTAGACCACACTATTCTCGGCAGACCGAAAGCCCTCCAAATATATCTTCGAGCCTCTTCGTCCCTGACTTCTAACTTGGCTGATTTGGCATGCTTCGATTTCAGAGGTGTCACGTGTGCAGTCGTTGTCAAAGTCCTAATACTTGTAGGATCTTTAATTGCCTCATAGTTCACACACGCTATTTTAAGGTTTCCTCAGTTTCCGAAAGGATTCTCTTAGTACTTCGGATTGTTTAATCCGGAAATAAACCGATCACGAATTTCAGTTTCCAAGTGATTTACGAAATTGCAGTTTGCGGTCAGTTTTTGTATTTCAATAAAAGCTCTTCACCTTTCGGATCTTCCTGTCGCATCACTTTATGAAAATTTGATATTGAAGATGCAATTTTCACCGTAGTAAACTACTCAGCTGGGTTAATATTTTATAACATATGAATGCAGATGGATTTTGCAAGAACCATATTGTCAGTATCACAGTTGGCGCGCTTTATTAACGCTGCGTTGCAACGTGCAACTGATGGTTGAGAATAGGTCCATGTGAAGTTGTGGGCTTCTAGAAATCTCAACCTTATATCCCTCTGGAATATCTGAGGCTTTGATGATGGTGCTGGACGAAATCACCCGTTCGATATCTGTTTTCGGTGACATGTCACAAGAGGGCTGAAAGAGGGTTCAAGAAAAAGAAAGGACGAGAAGCAGAGCAGACGATGTTTACGAAGGGATAGATAAAGTATGACTACGCAGTCTAATTCTATTTTTCTAAAACACTACTCAAGAAAGGGCATTCTGATATGTTGAAGAAATTAAGTCTGAACAAGGAATGAGTGGACAAAAAACCGACAAATGGATGTGGTTCAGAAAGAAGCTCAAAGTATGGAATTATGTGCACTTATGAAATATAGTGCTAAAAATAGTATTCTGATGTCCAAATGGCTGTCTTCCTTTTTCGTTGAAGCTATTTGAGTCCGCTTTTTTGTTGATATTATAGGGTCTTGATCAGGCTTCGATTTCAGCGAATTGTCTAGTTTGCTTGTAATTGGATTACTTGGTAGGAAGTGGAGCATTTGAGCGACATAGAAACATCTGGAACAACAAAGATTCAGTGAATGGGCTTGCGTAAACCCACGTTAAGTTAGCCGTCCCTTTTACTATATGTGGCGATAGGCTCTCCGTTTGCCACCTGTACATTTAAAACCGATTCGTGAAGCCGGTCGGTAGAATTAGCTGGGAGAACGCTAACTTCTGTGCCAGTGTCGACGAGGTAGCGAACTCTCGTTGTCACATCTGTGACATACAACAGACGGCTACGTTCGCCGGCTACGGTTTCCGTCAACGCGTTCCGGCTTGGAAGCTTCCCGAATCGTTATTTGTGTCGGTCGATTTTGAGATTGGGATATTGCAAGGTTTTCTGACATTACCGGAAGAATTTTCATGCTGGTTATGATATCAGCACCAGTCGGTGTTATCCGTCCCTTGTGGTCCAGAGGCAGTTCGCCTACGTGAAATGCCTCCTCGCGGGGTATGTGACCGTTTACGGTCGTTACGAAATCCAAGATAACGTGTACATGTATGACATAACTCTTTCATGTCATTCTGGGTCGTTTGAAATTTTTCTATGACTGAAGATACCTCGGCATTACAAGATTTCGTGATTTCTAAGATGCGGTCAGCAGGTGTAGCCAGCTCGTCTACGGCGTTGTTTTGAAACGACACCAGTACGGCTTGCTCCTGTTGAGAAAGTTTGGATAACAAATGTTGTCTGAATAAGTCACCATCGAATGCTCTTTGACCGATAATCTCTCTCACTCTTCGCAACATGTCTGTCACAGAACCATGTTGCAGGTCGATGTTATTAAGGAGTTGGTCCAACCATTGTCGATCGGTTAGGTTTCCGCGTTTAAGGATAGATCGATTAAGTGTTTCGTGGGGTTCCGAAACATCACTAGTAAAAGACTGCTATTAAACGCAACTCAATTTCGTAAATGTGGCCTTCAGCTTAGCAACCAATCAGAATGAGGCGAGAATTATTATATCCGCCATCTTTGTAAGCAATGGCGGTCGGCTTTCTTCGTTCTGTGCTTTTTTCAGCTGTTTCTTTTGTGAAGCTATGTAATTTAATGTTTCAGTGTTCTAAAATGCCTCAGTTAGTGTAATGTTCTATATGTCGGCGTGAAATTTATTTCGAATCAGCATTGTTTTTTGTTGCTTTTACTCAAGTCAATGTATTCCTTCAGCCAAGCTGGCTAGTCTTATGTTTTAAAATGATAATCGGTTTTGTTTTGAATTATTTTCTAGATATCCGAAGCCGAAGTTCGTTTTTTCGGCTAAAATAATTGTTGCTGCCGCTTGTGACTAACTGTCAGCATGTTCGTTCCTAACTGTCCTTTATGATGTTATCGACAAAATGATAGGAAACAACCTCCGGTTTTTAATTTTCTTCAGTATTATAAACAACACTATCCCACTAACGAGTCAAACTAATGCTGAGTGCCCAGCAGTAGGGAATATCAGTATTATTTTCGAAAAGACCCAGACTTCCGATAACCATAGACGAAGTCACAGATGCTACCAATCAATTGCAGAGGATTTGTTATAAAAAATATGGCATATAGCAGTAATGGAGGGGTTGTACTCATTACGTAATGCGTTAAAGCAAGCTGAACATTGAAAAGCCGAAAATATGCTATCAGTGTGTAGTGTATGTTTGCTGTTTTGGTCATAAAAGGAAGCCGAAGTGTCATGATCAGGGAGTAAAGGGGTAATTAACTGTTACTAAGCTCACTTTTTTGTAGATCATATTTCACCACTCGCAAATTTGTGTTTTTCTTGCGGTATGATGTCAACCGTTACCTAATATCTTCACCCTTACGATGAAAAGTACCTGCAAATTCTCACCTTCATGTTCGAATTATTTTTGGACAACTGTCTTCCAGTTTGAGTGCTTCGTACGCCCTGGCAGACCAGATTCCTACATTATTCGTAGTTCCAGTATAACTTTCTCACGCAGTAAGTCCAAAGTAGACACTAGTCTTTCTAAATACGCCTGCTAAGCTAATATCCGTATTCTCTATTTCACTTAATCGATGAAGGCATTTACCACGTGCATCTGCCGTATACTGCCATTTTTCTTTACTTCTAACTGTTATATCTTACTTCAGAAAAATAAAATCGTTCTATGCAGCAAATACAGACTTATTTTTTCTATGCAGATAGGGGGTTCATGAGATTTTTAGCAGAACTGTATTAATATTCTCACTAAAGAGCCAAGCGAGTGCGCAGACCAATGTAAGGCACCACACAGGGTGCCTTCGAGTTGTTAGTGTTCCATTAGTGCGGGTAGGGGCATTGCTTGCCTATCGTATGGCACTTGAACAAGAAGCTATGAGATTAGGCGCAGGTATGGTTAGGATGTATAACGCGTGTCCATCAGCTGACGTGACAACTCATGGTTGTTAGAATAAGTTATGAGAGGACACGAGTTTGTAGGTTTCCCAAGAAAATGACGAAGGTATGTACTAAATCACTTAAATTTACTACATATGAACTAGGTGCTGCAAGGCTTGTGTATCACAACTTCCTTGCACCGATTAAGTAAACAAAAGTCAGAAGCGAGGAGGTTCGAAGAAATATTCGATGGACTATCAATATATCGAGGATCGTCTGATCTAATCAAGCTAGGGATTGCAGGAGATGTTGAGCACAGCGTTCCGACTCGTGATCTGGTGCGGATGCATCACCGAGCGCCTTCAGCTAGGTGAGTCCATTAAAACTAATGTGGTTAGCATACAATGTCGAAAACTTACAGAGCTATTTATTTTGGGGAATTATTTATTACTAAAGAGTCTGTCTCTCAGAAACAATTCAATATGGTTGGTGCTTCCGGTTATATTTGTTTTGAATCTACTTTTTCACCAAAATACTCACATTCTTGTTATACTACGTTATTATTATTCAAGGGATCGTAGACGACCCTGAGCCTATATAAACTTCATAAGCTGTTTCTGTGCAATCCTTCGAATATGGCCTCTTTAAGCTGTGGCTACAAGTGTCTGCAGATTTTTCTAGTGGTATTTAATGTCCTTGTTTGTGTAAGTTGGATGAAATTTGACGAAATATGTTTTTTCTGACAGACATGTGGGATTGTTGCAGTTGTAATTGGAAGTCTCTCCCAAGTTGCTATTAATAAATATTCCACTGGAGTGGATTCAAATATCAAGTGTCTCGTAATCTTTTTAATAGTACTTGGATGCTTCCTAGTTGTGTTTGGATTTCTTGGGTTTTTTGGATTGGTTACCAAGAATACTTTCTGTTTAATCTTGGTAAGTTGCTATATACACTGATTTTAAAAACCAAGTACACCTCTCTACTGTCAACCGTTGTGCTGATCGAAATAGCGGGAGGAGTAGCGGCAGCTGTGCTAAGAAAAGACGTAAAAGCTCAATTCCAATCTCTGATTAAAAGCTCCGTTTCTGAATATAGCAAGAATCCGGACTTGAAGAAACTCTTAGATAAGATACAAACAGAGGTACACCATTACAAAACGTAGTTTATTTTGCAGTTTCATTGTTGCGGCTCTGAATCGCCAAAGGACTACATATCGACTAAGCAAACCATCCCTGATTCATGTAAAAATCCAGAAACTAAGATTATATACTTAGATGTAAGTTGAAATAAATTTTGTTTTGCTGTTAAAATATTTTATTAGGTTTTGTATTTTTCCAAAAACCCGTGAGATGTGATGTGGGAGTAGGATCGGATGCTCTACTATACCAATTGGTATTATTACATCTCTTGTATTAGCTATTTGCATGGTGTTTAAACCTATAAAATGTGTTGAAATAATAACGAGCAACGGAAAAGTGAAAACTACAATCTTTGTGCATGAGTGAAAGCTAATCTATCAAATCCCAATGATGAACTGTTTTGAATGTTTGTACAAGCTTGGAATCTCGATTAAATACTTTACGAAATGCCTATTAACAGTCAATTTTAAAGTATTACTATCTTCAGCCAACGTGACTACTCAGGACTTACTGTTTCCTGGAGTTGTGAACATGATCTTCTGTTTGCTCTCTTCAGTGATACGAATAGGATAGGAGGTTTTTTGACCTACGCCGCGAGATTTCAGACTCAGGAAGTACCTTAGGATGATTGCAGTTAAATAAACCTAATCCTAAAGTAACTGCTAATTTACACAGAACCACATGAAGATTGCAAATATCTACGCAACTTTTGGGATATTCGACCTATCACTAATGTGTAGATATTAGAACCATCACCAATTAATTTTAAAACACGTTAAAAATCTTTGATATTCGGCTTTGTTTACAGTTTGGAAATTTTTTTAATACTCAGGTGCTAAGAGTAATCACTTCATTATACTTTCAGGATCACATTTCAAAATTCAAACAATTCAAGCCACATCTAAATCTGATGGTTCATATTTATACGTCAAGACGTTGGGCCTAATATCGTCCGTAAACTTGATGAGCATTGCACACTGACTTTGTGTGGTGGGGTAACATTAGAGATCATAGTTGTAGAGATCTGCTTTTTAAGTGAATCATGTCTGATCACATCCCTACTAAGTGGTATTGTTACTTGAGTCAGCATTTAATAAAGAATAATGATTGCACACTGGATACAATTATTAGTACGACGACAAATATGTTTGACCGTTATTAGTGTGGTTCAACTCACGCTTTTACTTTTCACAGTAGTGGATAGATAATCTTGACCAGTGAGGTTCGCATTTGTCTGAAGAGCACATCAAATCACAAATGTTTTCCTTGCTTGCTTGCTACTAGAGTACGCTGTTTCTGGGTGAGGCATGGTATAAACATAGGTGATTATTTAAACTGATGACCAACACTCTGAGTCAGCCATGGATATCGCACACGATCTCCGGTCATTTTGAAAACACAGACCATGTTTCCAGGATACCACCCACCCGACGTTAAAAGATTTTGACCTCTAACATCAGAAATAGGGCAATTATTTCCTGAAACTTGATCTCTATTTTAGTCAAACGTAATAATATTCTTTTTAATTTCAGGGTTGTTCATGCAAAGTAATCGACTTCTTTGAAAAGTATATTATTGCCGTTTTAGTAGCGGTATTTGTATTTGCCATCCTCCAATTGTCGTGTATTGTTTTTGCTATCTGTGTTATTCGAGCTATCAAATCTGGCGATTACGGACAAGACTAGATTATTTAAGGTTGTGAACGCTATATTTGATTTTTTGACAGCTTTCAACTTGGCATAATTAAACTCTTTTCCTTGTTTTTTATTTCACTGTCATTTATTGAACAAAGAATGGAGTCTTGTATTTTGTTCAATAAACATTCTAAACAATTATGAATCACCAAAGGTTACTGTAATTAAGATTATAATATTGACGGAAAATATTAAATCTAAACAATGTTTTCGAGACTTATCTTTTCACTTGCCTTTATTGATTGTTTAAATGAATTAAACTGACACGCTGCTTCTTACCAAATGTGGAGTCATGTCAGCAAAGTGTATAGACACTTCACATTCTACTACTTCTGTAACTTCACATTTGACAAACAATAAACATAAATTAGAAGGATCCGAACTAGTTCTAAATAAAACAACTTATTGACAAATAGTGTTACGATAATGTCAATAATTTTGATTATTTTACTCATTAAAACTCCGATCATCTTAAAGATTTGGAACTCACTCGAATAGCTAAGAATTAGGACTGAAACACTGGAATATATCAAATAAACAGGTTTAGATAGAGTGAGAGAAAACAGTGTCCGTAATTTAAAACCACTCTACTTGTATTACGAGATAAATGCACGTCTGTGTATGAGACCAAATATCTGGTGTTTGGTCACCAGTGGACGAGCACTGCTAAGGAGTCACATGTCTGTACGAAACAGATACCGAGTGCTTACTGATTTTCAGTAGTTATTTAACTACAATAAATCTGTAATGATGGTCATGAAAAAGCCCCTGTTTATGAATCCAAGTGCTGTGTTCCTATTTCTTTTGCTTCAGAGAAAAACATGGTGAGCGGCGGTAGTATACTGCCATTTGATGCACATTTTGCTAATAGTATTCAACAGTGCAAATCTCAACCATCACGACTCCTAAACCTCCTTTATCCAATTACCCGTGAGAGCGAGTTCAAATATGAGAGATAGCAGACTAAATCCAGACTAAATCACTAGATGACATGATTGTAATTACAGCGAATCAATAGGACAACATTTATGTTTATGAAATGGATTTGAAAGATTTGATATCTTTTCGAGTTAGCCGTGAAGGAAAACCGTCATCATTTATCCTTTTCCTTCTAAGTGTTAGAGTTGTTTTAGAAGATGTACAATGAAAATTTATAAAACTCATCCGTAATTCAGTCTAGAACAGCAAAATTGAAGTTTCTCATCAGAGATCAACTTTGTCTATGCAGCCAACAAAAACCAAAAGATCTGTAATTACAGTGAGATCTTAATTCAGAAATTCATTAATGGAATATGCATCATTTACTATTCAATTTCCTTTGAAAATACGAACAGTATGTTTATTTCAATTAATTGACAATCAAAGTTTAACATGATTACAAAAATGGATTCGATCTGTGGCACTTCGTTTTAATGAAATTATGTCGGTCTTTCAAAGCAACATATTAACAGAAATAGTACGTAATGGGTATATTTAACTATATAAGTATACGAATGTTGTCACAGTATGAAATTCTTGCGAATCAATGCTTAACCGCCTATATTTTTTAAAATTTAGAATAATGAAACCACCTGTAACAACCTCAATTAAAACATGAAAAACCGACGACTGATTGAACATTCGTTTTAAGAATAGGCAGTGTATAAGAATCTACTGTTGGTGAAAGCTGTTTATTACGGAACAGAGTATAACATAATATTGGATCACTGAGAGTGGTAGTCACATAGGGCTCGACCATCACTACAAGATTGCAGAAACATGATAGCGGTTACTTAAGAACGGTCAATCAATGTTGATATCTTAGTCCTAGAGGAGAAAACCAGTAGTCCAAACAGCCTCGAAGAAGTCTCTGACTCGGACACTGGATAGAGTAAGTTTGAGTTGAATCATGTGTGAAGATTTCGACAAAGATTTATAGGGAAGCTTGCTGGTTAGTTCAAACTAAATAAAGATATGTAGATTTACAGCCTGTTGCTCAAGTCTTAAACTTAATAACGGGTCATGTAGGAGAGCACTGAAATGCCTAAATATCATATTTTGATCACTTCTCAGTGGTCTTGAGCTCCCTTTGTATGAATGGCTAGCGGATAACTGTTGACAGTCATTCTGTGACTAACAATCTGGAACCTGGAACAAATGCACGTCAGATGCTAGTGTGAGCATGGAGACAGGAAATTACCAATATATGTGTGTTAATAGGTTATTGTTTATAAATCTATTCGATTCGGAATAACACCTGACTGCGTCGCAATGCAAGCCATCTCTTGGAATCCTCAACGCTGAATAAAGAGAAGAGGAAGACCAAAGAGAATGCTGGTCGGTGGACTATGCTCCATCTGGAGTAACAGGCGTAAGTAAGTAAGTGAGTAATCTCATAATCTTTTCCTTGAATTTGATTTATTCATTCAAATATATAACTATAGAAAATGAAGAAAATTTCTTGAAATGAATATTCTTCATTCATAAGATCAACATTTCAACCATAGTGAAATATACTACGATAAACATTGAAATACTATTCATCATTAATAATGAGATGATAATAGATTATTATGAATAATTCTAATTATATCATAGTTCATCTCATTATATACTAATTACATCGTAAAAATACATTAAAGAAGAAATAATAATAATAATAATAATAATAATAATAATAAATTGGAATTACATAATGATGGTATTAGATTATTTGAAGGGGTAAGTGAAATATTTAGTTTATAATGAGTGTGAATGAACTTGAACAAAGTTTTCTTTCTGTTTTCTTTCTTTTTGTTGTGGTTATTGTTATTTTTAGTCTTTTGAAATTTTTCCGTTTAAATATTTTATAGACAATAAGATAAATCGGTAATTATTGACACAGAAGTCTATGACATTGATCCAATTAGTGATTAACGAATGTATTGTATTTGGAATTCGAAATCAAGCATTCAACAAGTACAAAAGAATCATTAGTTCATTCAAACAACACATTACCCCGCAAATTTTCGAATTCTACTGGTTTATTAGGCATTTTCGTGTGACTTATGTGTTGCTTGGCATGAGACAAGATCTCACAGGAAGCCGTTTCAATGTAGAGCGCATCACAATCAAACAAACCTAATCTGTCGACACAATTTTGTATTGATGTGAACGCGACCTCATCTTTGATGTTGACTATCTTATAGAGAGCTTTATTTTGTTCGTCCTTAACATCCTTTGTATTTCTTCTGTCGTAGATTGACGGTAAGGTAAAACTGCAGTACTAACTCAATATCTTTCACTGGGGTTGTTACTTTGAGAAGGATGGTTATGTTTGAATGTGTTTTCAGTAATATCCTGTAACAATTATTAGATCGAGGATGTTAGTACTAGAAATACTCAGCATTGTTTCCTTTGTACTATTGACAATTATGTGATTTATACTTTGGTTATTGATTTGCTCTGAAGAAGTGACATACATTTAGTCACGGTACTTCAGAAATACTATTTCCTACTCACTGGGATATCACGAATAGTATACTGATTATCAAGTTTCTAATCAATACTCAATTTATTTGAAACTGTCAAGTCCGATGTTGGGACTAGACTATTATAATTAGATAGAGATGGTTTTCATTTGAACTTGAAAGAACTCTTCTAACTTGAATTAGTGATGTGGAAATCGAAAGTCATGACAGGATAAGAACTAAAACTTGAAATGACTGGAGGTACGGAATGAAGATGAGCACTTCTGTCGAATGGTTTATTTGTGCATCGAAACCTGAAAGATCTCTTCCTAACAGAAACACTCAGTGATACATAAGTTTACATGCATTGTTATTGGTAAAGGAAAGTTATGTTGAATTAATGTACAAAGAAGTGTAAGATAAAAAGGGTAATGAAATCAGGAAAATGATACCCTAATTGGTTTAAATGGACAGATACCTGACCACAATCACTCATTCCTAACAATAACACTTTGTCGAAACACGTATCTAAATATTGATGGAGATGTGTTGGATGGTGAGAACCCTTTAGAATTGTCTCCTTAGATGTGTTCATTCAATTTGTTGGACTTTGAATACTCACTGTAAACTTCTATGAAAATGTTAATCAAATAAGGAGAATAAGTATGTATATATGTAGTTTTAACATTTTTCTTTTCTTCAGGGTTGTGCGAGAATGCTTAACGCGATCGTCCAATGTCATTTAACTTACATCACTTCATTACTGGTCGTGTTTTTACCGATGGACATAGCCTCAATGGTTTGTGGTATACTTATGTTACACAAAGTGAAATCTGTCCCATGGGAAACAAGATTTGTTCATTGTTGATAGCTTCAACAATATCGTTTAATTTGACATTTATACTATTGTAATGAACCAACAATGAGAATGTAACATTGTTTGAGCATCTTCGATGTAACTGTGAAACACTGTCAGTTGGTTTCGTCGATATCATTTTACATTTGTGGCAACTCTTCTACAATCAAATTCCATTGTCGTTAAATTTTGTTGAGCGCTTTCATTAGCTTGACTAACAGACAATGTTATTCGAACAGTAACAATTTGTTTATTTCTTTGTACTATTATGACCAGTATCTTGTCTGTATAAACGAGTGCGCTTGTTCACATGATAGCCATGCATATACTTCTCTGGCTAAAATGCTGATGGCTCAAATATCGCTCGGTGAATCATTCTGTTCCCCATGTCCTCGAATCCTATTATTAGCCTTTGAATTGCCTAGCTGGGCCTTATTCAATTTGACTATAAATTCACCTCTGTATTTGCTCTTTTTCATTGCAGTCAAACAGCATATTATAAGATATCTGAGATCCTGTGCGTTAACCTGTATCCTAATCTATGTTACTGTGTTACCTATAAACAATACTGAGGAATGTATATCTGCGGGTTCAGCTCCGGATCCATATATATTAATGTAATACAAACTATAGGTTAGTTAGGTCTGAACAGTGTGGAGAAAGTGACCAAGAAAGAAAATAAGGTAAATGAGTGGCTCACTGTCACACCTAGGATAGGAAAATAAAAGTAAGAAAACAAGACGTTACCTATGCGTTTGACGCTGAATTGAAATCGGAGTGCAAGGAAGAGACGGTTTCAGGAACTAAGATTCCACACCGCGTCAAGGCAGGTCTCTCTGAGAGGTCAGTCATTTTTCATAAGTTAAGAGAATCTTCCGATAAAGAACCAAAGGCTAGATTTGAACACGAGTTCAGTCATAATATGTTCTCAATAAGCAAACTACCCTCAGATACAGTTTCAGGAGTTGGTACTTGTAAGCTTTATAGAATGGAACAAAAGGTGGATTCTGAAGTCCTCAGAAAAACCGCCTCTTGAAGGTCACATTTGCCATGGTTGAAGGAAGGAACCTGATTCTAGGCAACTCACGTAAACTGAGTGTATCCGAAATATACGTCAGTGAAGATCTCAGCCTAGCTGATCGTATTTAAGAGAAAGCTGCAGAAGTGGAGATAAATGAGTGGCGCCGAAACGGGAAAGAAACCTCGTTCTTGAGGGTTTTCAAATTGTAAAAGTTCAGAGCAAAACGATCCTCAAACCACTCTGGGTGGTTCGTAAGATACCGAGCTCTGACGGGTTACATCCATGACTGCTGTCATCTCTTGCGGACATTATTTCTAGACCGCTCACGACGCTATTCAACACGTCCCTTTCACTTGACCAACTCCCTAGAGATTGGGAAGACGCTATAGTCAGTCCTATATTTAAGGATGGTCAGGGGCAGATCGTATCTAAATACCGGTTAGTCAGTCTAACCAGCACAGTGGTTAAGTTACTTGAAAAGGTTATTCGGGCTAAGTTACTAAGTCCCATAGATTCACACAATCTGTTAACTTCTGAGTAACATGGGTTTCGTAACAAGCGTTCATGCTTGACTAACTTACTTGTTGCGAGAGAGGATTAGACAGCAACCTTAGATAACGGTCTGTCTGTCGACGTGATGTTCATAAAGTTCAGCAAAGCATTTGACAAGGTTTCAACTTAGGTCTTATACAGAAGCTCTCGAGATTCGGAATAATAGGTGCTGTACATGAGTGGATAGGAAACTGCTTATGTGGTCGCAGACAGAGAGTGCGGGTCAATAGGACGCTATCCGATTGAAAGCCGGTCAAAAGTGGTGTACCGCAAGGCACCATCTTAGACTCTCTTTTTTTCCTCCTCTATGTTAATGAATTATCGCTGTTGCTTAAGTCGTCGATATTATTGTTTGCGGATGACGTAAAAGTCTGTAGAGCAATAAGAAGTGAGGCTAGTCATTTGGATCTTCAAGTTGACTTAGATGAATTGGTTAAATGGGCTCGAGGCTGGGGCTTAGAATTCTTGGAAGAGTGTGCTCGAGAACGTCGAACACGGTAATAGTTACAATTGATGGTACACCTCTTCCATGCGTTCAAGAACATAGATACCTAGGATTTTATACACCACTTGTGTGAGACCGCATTTAGAGCACTGTATGCAGCAGCTATCCCATGTTTGATAAAAGGCACTAGCTCACTTGAGCGTGTTCAGCGTGTGGGAACGAAATTATTGCAGGGTCTTTCTAAACTCTCTTAATATGAGCGCTTAAAACACCTTAACATTTTCCTTTTGTCGTACCGTAGGCATTTAATCATGATTTGGGTGTTACTATTTCTTATCTTTTTGCTCCCTACAGCACTAATAATCTCCGGGATCATAGCAACAAGATTCACAAACCGCAATCTAATAAACTTAAAGTGAGGTCCTGTTTTTCTCATCAAGTAGTCAATGGCTGGAACGCCTTACCCAAACAGGTGGTATCAGCCACAATAATGAATGTTCTGAAGGCAAAGCTGCATCCGCAGTAGAATGCAATCTGTCAGGATTAACACAGGTTTAGCAAATTACTATCCTTATTACTGAAGGCTGAAGACTAGAAATGAACTTTAAATCACTGTTAAAATGTTCGATAACGACATCTACATCGATTGTGGTGAATATATGATATCTAAAACACTTATGTTATTTTGTTAAGAGAGATATTAAATATGTTCAGAAACATTGAGCTATCATTTCTGCATAATTTTAGTAATTAAGTCATTATTTAGTGGCCTTACATCTGGCTCTTGTTGGGTCACTGAACTATCAAATTATAATTTAATGAACATTCTGTTCACGCTCTGATGTTCGAAACTCCCTGGATGTTTTTTATTATTCAATAACATAAGTTTATCTTGCTCTTAGTGAGCTCGTTCCATCTAATCCATGTCATTTATGGACTATTATCACACTCATTTACATAGTTGAGGTCATTTTTGTGTTATCATACCACCCATTTTTCATTTCGATATTGTCGTCTATTATGTCTGTGCATGCCTTTATTTCTAATAAGTCTTTTGCTAAGACCGATCATCCTTATTTTGTTGTGGGTCATTTTTCATATCAATGGTTTAATTATTATCGTTCGTTTTGTGAATATATGGCTGTCGCACGTCGTATATCTCCGACGACTTTGTTAGCTGCTCGTACACCGAGCAATCTAAAACCTGCTGAGTAATTTGACGGTCTAGGACTGTGGATTCAGACTAAGAGCTTGCCTCGTGCTGCAATTCAATGACTTCTATAAGTTGTCCCCTATCCACCCCCAGCGTCTTTCTCTGGTTTTTTATTCAGTTGGAATCTGATTTGTTCTCTCCCACAGTAGGTTGTTGGTGATTGTATCCGAACAACAAACATTGAG